TGAAATCCACATGACCGACGTGGACTTTGGAAGTGGATGGCAGACGTGAACCCACTTCTATTCATACTACACCAGGTAGGCGTCAGTCTGCAGACAGTCGCCTGATATTGAACATAGAAAAACACATGGGACTCCCCCTGGATGTTTCTGAAAGGCTGACATTACACTTTTTTGCAGGAGAAAGCAGCTGGTCACAGATTGGACTGCAGCGGCGTGTCATTGTGATTATTCCTGAGGTGTACTGAGCACAGTGTGTGAACACGGCACAAGATTTCTAGAGAATTAAGAACTCTCTGCTGTGTCTAGCTCTGCGATGCAAAGCACATACAAACCAAAGCACCTCCAAAATCCAGCAGAAGCCACCTCAAATACAACTCTTTAATTAACGAATTATAAGGTGTGGATGACAGAGAATCCAGACGTACAGCATAGACCATTACAGACAAAATTTACGTCACGCCTGCCCTTGTTTGACATACGGACAGCATGTGTTGGCCTTTAGGTGTCCCTAATGGTGAGCTGCAACAGATAGGAATTCAGTTTAGCTGGTTTGTGTTAAACTGAATGTACAGTTGAGGGGTTCAGTGCCAAAGCAGGCCAAACCACAAAAAATCCAAAGTTGTGTTTTNGCATACACAGTCTTATCTTTGTTTTAAATGTATGTGTCTCTGATACGTGATTTCAAAAAACGTAAAAGTCGTGTAACAACGGTTCAACACAACCCTTTGATTTCGGTGAAATAATGAAATTATTCGAATAATATTTATCATCTATTTAGGCAAGCAGCAGACACATCTTTCAACAAAAGCAGCAGAAGTGAAATATTCTGACATTCCCCATGGGTGTGGTTAATTGTAGCACATAGATGTTTAGTTGTAAAACTTGCTAGAAAGGCATGTTTGAAAGTAATTAACATGATGCAAATCTACCTGTATAGTACAGGATGGTACTGTTTGTGGACTTACCTATGATTGACAGAAGTCCCCACATCTATTCATCCCAACTATCTATCATGGATGGAAAGATGAATACACATCTGGATGGATACACGTGGACGTTAGGGTTAGGGTTTTCTCACCTATCATTTTCTTTCTATCCATGACAGATGATGGATAAATAGGCATGTGTGGACATCTGTCTGTGTTTTCATCTGTATCATGGATGGATGAATAGATAATCATAAATGTCTATTTCACCATCATCTACTGGTCTATCATCAATAAATATTCAGATGGATGCAGACAGACAAAGATTATTCACAACAGATCCACACATTAAAATATGCATGCTGTGTACAAGGAACTGTGGGAAACACACTATTGTCAACAAAAGTCTAACACAGGGTTTTTTATTCTGAAAAAAATAAAAAAAGATTAATCAGTTGTTTTTATTTAGATATACTGGACTCTTTTGGGTTGTAACTCTGACATAGAATTGTTTCTCAAGCCTAACTAACGTTTTCCATGAGTTGGTTACTTGCTACATGAAAACAGTGTTACAGGCAACAAGATGTTATCAAGATAATATCAGGCTGGATTTGAATAATTTAAAAAATATGTACATCAAAACTTTCTTTGTCACAGATCTGCACAAAAACAAGATCAAAGTCCAAACAACTTACTGGCACACTGTTTTCTGGTAAAGTGGTAAACTGACCAGAAGCACTCCCTGCTTGACTCTGTGTCGAACAGTTTTAAGTAAAACCTGGACCTGCCCCCGCTCACTCCCCATCCATGGAAATTTTAGGACTGAATGAAATCACTGAGAGCAGCCTGACTAGAAGTGACTCAGACAAGAGCAGCTGCAGCTGTGTGTTAAATGAGAAACTGATAAGATAAACTTCACAAGACAGGCCGCATTAGCTATATGCAAATGTGCTTTACATTTGAGTTCAACAAACTACCAAAAGAGTTCAATGAACTGACAACATTTGTCAACGTCTACACAACATTTCATGGAATCTCAACAGAAGATTACATTTTCTGGCTCAAATCTTTTCTTAGGCAGCCTTTTTATTCATTTTTTTCACTGATATTTTACAGTCAATGAAATACTTTTGTTTTTACATGAACTCAGGAGTTTCCCTAAACATCCACCTACTCCATCCATCCATCCATNTATTGGTGGAATCACAGTTAAGGGAACAAAAACATTGCTGACTAAGGAAATGAAAGATGATCATCGACTTCCGGAGTTCACGTCCTGAGCATGCTCCCCTCAGCATCAGTGGAGAGAGTGGAGAACATCAAGTTCCTCCAAAGATCTCGCAGGACTTGAGCTGAACACCGCAGCGATCATCAAACGGTCCCAGCAGGACTGCATTTCCTGAGGAAGCTGAGACAAGCCTCTCTTCCTGCCAGCATCCTCAGGACTTTTTTACAGAGGTGTGGTGGAGAGCGTTCTGACATCCTGCATCTCAACATGGCGCTCCAACTGCAGTATGTCAGACAGAAAAGGCCTGCAGAGGATAGCTAGAGGAGCTGAGAGGGTCATCGGAGATTCTCTCACCTCTGTCCAAGAACTTTTCCAGAGCAGTTGCAGGAGCAGTGCACTGAACATTGCTAGGGACTCCTCACACCTTCTCCATAAACTGTTTGAACTGCTACTATCAGGCAAATGTTTCCGAAGCGTTAAAGGAAGAACCTCCAGAATGATCAACAGCTTCATGCCACAAGCTGTGCTGAACTGCTGATCCGAGATATGTAAACATTTCTTTATTTAAATTGCTTTAAGTTACTGGATCCTGAAGAAACGCTCTCTCATCTTGCCTGTACTACTGCGTATGTACAGCAAAATGACAATAAATGTAATCTGATTTGATTTGAAAAGACTTTCACACAGACTATAAAATCCCTTTAACTCACTTTGTTGTACTTTCTGTGTTCATAAATAAACTGAGCAATGTCCCACCTGCTGCAGTGTCTAACTAATTGCATGTCACTAATACCCAATTAACAATAAAGGATAAAATTTCAATTAAGCACATAGGAAACACAAAGAAATAAAGCAATTCCAGATTCATTTTCTCTGCAAATGTATATCTGTTCTAAAAAAAAAAGATTATCAGTCCTCATGATGACTAATAATTTGTATTTGTATAAGCTCTGAGAAAAAAACACACATTGAGTGATTCCATTTTCAGACATAAGGGCCAATCCAATTTTCATATATATTGTCCCATCAATTTACATTAATTCAATTCAAATAATAACCTGCAGAAAAGATTGCTTGCCCGAGTAAATTCAGCTTTTGAATTTCTCTTCACTTGTCCAATAGATACTCTGACACCTGCATACAGTCACATGCTGGTTGGATCAGAGTCAAGGGAAAAGGCACAGTATTTGTTTAGGTACACCTTAAAACACCTTTCACTTCACTTCTCCATTTCAGCAAATCAGGAAGATTTTTCTGACACGCAGCTGTAGTGCTTTAAAAAAAAAACACCCAGATTTTTGCAGTGGCCTTCACCTTACAGGAGGGATTAACAAATGGCTTTACAGCTAATTAAGACCTCTCAAGTCAAATGTCGTCCTTTGCACGATTCTGTTGCCGTTTGTGCTCCTCACAGGGTCGCTGCATCAGTGACATACAGCTTGTAAGTCACATGAAGTGCGTCCCTGAAGTCTCCTTGAGAGCTACGTGGTCATGCTGTGATCAATCAGCGCTCCAGTTAATTTCCCCTCAGCTCACACGGACACGCTGTGAGACAGCAGCACGTCGGTTTCTGGTTCTTATTGCTGGAAATTCCAGATTTCTCTGCACGGCCTGCTTGATTCCTGCATAAGCCGTTTCCAATGCAACATGAAATGCGCTGCGCCGAACGGATTTACACCTTCAGAAGTGGTTGTCACCTCGAGTTTCACAAATTTCACATCAGTATGTTCTGTTTCCAGCATGTTAACGTCTCGTATTTCTCTGGCAGAGGGAGCCTCGTGTTTTCAAATATTGATACATATTCAGAGCCACGGGCTGAGCAAATGAGATGTTGGTATTCCCTTTAGTGTATGTCTTGACACACACAGGAATCCATCGAATAAAATGCAAAGGGAGGAAATAATCAATATGCTGATTTATGGTAATGTCAGTGCAGCATTGGAGGAGATGTCAGTCACTGCTGCTTGCTATGCAAATAGGACAGAAATATTTCACAATGTATACTCCCACCACAGCGCTTTTGTATGTGCGCAAGTGTAATTGTGTGTAAGTAGCTTTACATTTTTTCAATTTAAAGTGAAGTTAAAGGCAGAGCTTGCTGTACTTCCTATAAGTTAAGACTTAAGCACCCAATTTTTCTGAGGTGCCTGGATGTGAAGAAAGACATTGAAATGCTATTCAGCTTTGAAAATGTTAGTAGTGAGCAACTGCATTTGTAATAAATCAACCAAAACAATGATTTGGAACAGCAGATACCACACATGTTCCAAAAACCTCCAAAGGTCTGATCATAACCATGAGTCTGTATAAATGCATTTTAGGAGTATCAGAATCTGAGAGATGAATCCAGGGTTCAGATAACTTCCTGTCGTATGTAAAGTTGTGCTCAACTAATGTATTTGGTATTGTATGGTGTTACTTTCAAGTTACACTCTGAAAATATGTGATCTATCTTTATCATCCTAATCCAGCAGAGTGAAAAGGCAGCAATGTCTGGTTGGTATTTTGTAATAAAAGTTTGCAGGATCACCTACAGCGAAAATCCTCTTCTGTTGCTTTCAGTTCAGTTCAATTCAGTTTTATTTGTATAGCGCAGTTTACAACACGTTATTACATAGCACCTAACAAAGTAAGGTATAGGCCTTACGAATTACTTAAGAATCTGTTTTTCACAGAGAAATGTTTCAGAGGTCTCGTCTGTTGATTAAAAGCTGCCTGTTGAGTCTTGCCGTCGCTGTGAAGCTGCCAAGCAGGACTTCAGGAAGTCACTGTTCCAGCCAAGAAACAGTCTGGCTCATAACCTGTTGTAAAACTACAACTTGTCATTTTTGGACTTCTGTTTCTGCTCAGACTACACAAACAGCATAGGACATGGCCATTCATAAGAGGTACTGGTAATTGGAAGATTAGTCGTTGCTTCATTATTTTCTGCCTTTACACGAAGCAAACAAGCTCCTGACTGGAGCACCGAATGTACGAGTAGTGTTACTCTTTGCAGCTCACTTGGCATGGTGTTGTTGGGGCAACTGCTTCTTAGTTCATCTTTTTTTGATCATTTTGTCAAATCTGCTTGTGTGAGTGTCATCCACAGCAATAATTAACACTGATATACATACAGGACTGCCAATTTAAAAGATGTAACCAGAAGTTTACATACACTATATAAAAAGACGCATAACCTTTTTTTCTCACTGTTTGACATCAAATCAGACTAAACTTTTCCTGTTTTAGGTCAGCTGGGATTACCTAATTTCTATTTCTATCTATTTTTTATTACTGTGCCTTCAAGCTATTTGGGAAACCCCAGATGATGATGTCATGGCTTTGGAAGCTTTTGATTGGTGAATGACAACATTTGAGTTAATTGGAGGCACCTGTGGATGTATTTTAAGGCACACCTCAAACACACTGCTTCCTTTTGTGACAACATGGGAAATCTAAGAAATCAGCCAAGATGTCAGTAAGAGAATTGTGGACCTCTGCAAGTCTGGTTCATCCTTGGGTACAATTTCAAGATACTTGACGGGTCCACGTTCATCTGTTCAAACAATTATATGCAAGTATAACCACCATGGGAACGTCCAGCCATCATACTGCTCAGGAAGGAGACGGGTTCTGTGTCCAAGAGATGAAGTGTTTTGGTGCGAAATGTGCTTATCAACCCCAGAACAAAAGCTAAAGACCTTGTGAAGATGCTGCTAAAGCTGGAAAGAGAGTGCCATTATCCACAGTTAAACAAGGCCTGTACCGACATGGGCTGAAAGGCGACTCAGAGAGGAAGAAGACATTACCCCAAAGGAAACGTAAAAAAGACAGTTTGCAAATGCACACAGGGACAAAGACCGCAATTTCTGCAGACATGTCCTGTGGTCTGATGGAACTAAAAATAAACTGTTTGGCCTTAATGACCATCGTTACATTTGGAGGAAAAATGGGGAAGCTTGCAGTCCTGAGAACACCATCCCAACTATGAAGCACGGGGGTGGCAGCATCATGTTGTGGGGGGGTTTGCTGCCGGAGGGACTGGTGCACTTCACAAAATAGATAGATGGCATCATGAGGACAGAAGATTATGTGGAAATATTGAAGCAACATCTCAAGACATCAACCAGGAAGTTAAAGCTTGGACACAAATGGGTCTTCCAAATGGACAATGACCCCAAACATACCACCAGACTAGTTACAGAGTGGCTTCAGGACAACAAAGTCAATGTTTTGGGGTGGCCATCACAAAGCCCTGATCTCAATCCTGTAGAAAATTTGTGGGCAGAGCTGGAAAGGCGTGTGGAGCAAATCAGCTTACAAACATGACTCAGTTCCACCAGTTCTGTCAGGAGGAATGGGCCAGAATTCAATTAAACTATTATGAGAAGCTTGTGGAAGGAAACCCAAAATGCTTGACCCAAGTCATACAGTTAAAAGACAATGCTACCAAATACTAAGGAAATATATGTAAACTTTGACTTTGACTTAGCAAATAGAAATAATTTTGGTAATCCCTTTTCATACATTGGATGTAAACATCTGGTTTCAACTGTAGTTGGCTCTTACACGTGAGAATAAAAATCAGTAATTACATTTCTCGTGCACTATAGAAGTGTCATATCAACAACATAGCAAAAAAAAAGCCCTTGAAAGTATAAAGAGAGACACTACAGCATAAAAATCACTGACATCCTGATTGAAATCTTATTCATGTGTGCAACAGCGTGTGCTCACCTTCAGCCAACGCCTCCCTGACCTTGTCAGCGTCAGCAGACAGGTAGAGGTTGGTGTGCCAGGCCTTCAAGTAGCCGATAGGACTGCTTCCTCCCGTCATACAAAACCTCTCAATAAACAAGTCTGGGAACAAGAGGAACAAATAGCAACAAGGTTATTAATTACAGTCCATCATTCGGTGTTAAATGTCAGCATTCACCACCTTAGAGATCCATTACAGTGTTGTTGCATGTATGTATTTGTATGCTAACATGCCGGGAAATACAGTCAATATCCTGTGTCTTCACAGTGACACATATAATCCATACTTAAGCTGTCGGTGAGCTCAGGAGAAGTGATATCAGGAGCCACGGAAGGTGAAGTGGAGGGGAGCTGTTGGTTAGGACAGGGTGAGAGGATAAACTTACAAATCGGTGGAGAGGGTCCAAAGAGGGGGATAACTAGAAGAGCCAGATGACGAGACCGTGGGAGGGCCGAGGTTGTGCAGACGAGAGGAGAAAGGTATTAAGACTGGTGGGAAAGTGTCCGTTTGCATTTTGGCCGGCGCTGCCTCTTAATTCAGCGCCCGGTCCAAAGAGCAGCGGAGAGTCGGTATGCGGAGAACGAGAGGGAACTGATATTAGGTAATTAGATCCATGATTGCAGAGCCGTGGATCATATCTGTCTCCTCAGGTAAAATGAGGTGATGTTTATCAGGGGGCCGACAGAACAGAGGATGGAGGGCACGGGAACGAAGTAATAGACTAATGTTGGTGTGGAGAAGGAAGAGTCTGAACAGAGTGGAAGGTTATAATAGAATGAAAAGGTGTGTGGCACCCAGGATAGATGGAGATGTAGTAAAGGAGAAGGTTAGTGAGGGTGGGAGATTTATGAAAAGAGACATGGGAGGGTTATGACATTTATTTAAAGCTGCACCACTCAGGGCAAGAAACTCATCTTAGGCTTCATCCACATTAAAGAGGCACTGATGCTGTTTAGTATTAGGCTTTTGAAACATTTGCACACCCGTAAACCTGCAAAAATGGATGCAACAGAGGTATCCTAATTTTGAGTTCCAAAGTGCTGAATCCTACATTTCCCATAATGCCTCCTAATAATAATAATAAATGCTGGTGACATCCCGATGACATCACAGTTTATTTACGCAGCCTTAGCAAAGCTCCCTCCAGACCTGTGGAGGATATTATATCACCGTTCTCACAGGCTGAACTGCACACACTGTGACTAATAAGCTGACCCTTTTTTTCCTCTAAAGTCAGTGAAACGGCCCCATAAGTCAGCAGGAAAACTGAAAATGTGGCTTATTCAGTGTTTACTCCCTTCCACCTTAGTCAGCATTTTTTCACACCAGAAAAATTACACTGAAAGAGAAAAAAATGCTAATGTGAAGCAAACAATGTGCACACATAAACACTGCCCGACTAAATAAATTCGGCGTTAACTGCATATAATGAATCAGATTTGAGCGAACCGTTTGTGACGTGTGCATCCATACAAATGTCTGGTTTATCAGTTCTTTCCAGATGGACATTACGCAGCAGTGAGAATTAGCGGGTGTCCTTTTCTCACTTTAAGAAAACACACACACACAGCAAGATGCAGATTGGTGTCAGTTTTGCACAGCTCACCATTACAATATGCTTTTTTGCCTTCATTAGGGTGGTAATAGGTATCTTTCTCTCAGCAGATCTATTAACCCCGGGGGGATATTTTTTCCTATTAGTGCTGACTTGGAAAAGTTGCTATAAATATATCAAATATATTCTGTTCACAGTATCATCACCACACAGCTGCCAGTTCATTTAGAGAGAGCTGTTTTAGATTCTATCATTTTTACTGGCCTACTTTGGATGATAGATTATAGTAGGTTTTTTTTAGGACAGTTCTGTCACTATGACACCGGCTTCAGTGTCCTGATGCAGATTTCTGTCCAGTATCATCTTTTGTTTTGACCTGACGGTGTAACATCCCCCCACTGTAAGCTATAAGTCCATATATAAGCTATATTATCCTGTCACAATGTTCACAGTGAAGACAGGAATAGCAGACATACACCAGGCAGGCAGGTAAAGTTGAGGGCTTTATTATGCTCAACATAGGTAGACTAGCAGGACAAAAACAGCAAGAAACCGGTACTGCCTGGTATGAAGAAATGGTGTATGATCTTAGAAAACAGGACACCCTCCCCCTAATGTTCATCATGTTTCATCATACATCTTTAAGATAGCAGCTGGAAACTATTTGCGATGTAAAGATACGGCAAATAAATTAGAACAAGGACCAGTTTTTCTGTAAATCTTGGTGCATGTGGGTCCCCCCCTTTGAAACTATCGGCCCAGAGTGACCTCCAATGCTCTGCTGGAAAAGTGAAAGTGCAGCTGGTGCTCTATAAATCCAAAGACTTCCCAAACAAAGTATTACAGTTATATTATTTACCTAATTTAAGTGCACTTCTTTCATTTTAGCTCAATGTGAGTTTCTACTGCTGTCCTGAGGTGCTACCCTGCTTCTCATTCTCCACTTGTGTCTGTTCTATGCCAGTCTTTGTGTGTCTGTTGTGTCTATTTCCACGTGGAGGTTTGGAAACAGACACACACAGCGCAAACAAGAGACAGGGAAGTGAAGATAATTTTACTTGACAGCACATGCAACATCAGACACAGGTCTTTATCTGTAGTCCCGTCATATCACAATAATGTAAAAGACAAACCAGTATGGCAGTGGCAAGTGCACACGTCCTTGAGAACAGGTGTTATTCATCTTTCAATACCTATTGTACAAAACAAGTTGGAGATTGGTGAATCTGAGTTGGAATATTTTTATGAGCAAACCCACAGTGGCCGACGGTTGCAAATGTCGTGCACATACACAAACGAGCAGCACATACATGAATGCATTGCATAAAAAGAAACAAAAAGAAAATGCTGCAAACACGGAAATGCGCTGCAAAAAGAAAACGCTGCATATCCAGTCACACGACGGAAGTGCCACAGGCCTCTCGGGTCAGTTTTGAGTCTTTAGCTTTTCAGTCACTGTGATTATCCTGGTGCTGAAGAGGTGTTTTACCACCGTCTCCATGTGTTCTCTCTGTTATTTATGTTTATCCATGGAGACCAGCGAATACACACCTTTCCATTAGCTTTTCCCTCGACTGATGTTACTTGTCTCGCTCACTGTTGTCTGCCTCTCAGGTGACTAGCTCACTACTGCCCCTAGAGGCCTGTTGCACTTCCGTTGTGTGACTGGATATGCAGCGTTTTCGTTTTGCAGTTGTTTTCATTTATGCAGTGCGTCTGTATATGCAACACATTCATGTGCAGCTTGTTTGTGTACATGCACGTCATTGGCCCCCGTCAGCCACACACAAAAAAAAGGGATCTAAATTCAAAAACATCCCTTTAATCATTTCTCGTATTAATCTTGCCACCCAAGGGCAGGTTTTGTTTTGCCGTTTTAAAGACACAATCAAAAAACAAAGACAGAGGAGATACAACGTGACTCATGAATGAGCTTGAGGCAAAATGAGATAGAAACTAAAGGAAACAAAGAGGCAGTGTTGATCTCTCAAACAACCGACTGTCCTCTGTGGACTTCCTAAATGGTTTACTTAGCTTTGTAGTCAGGCCCTGGTGAGTTTGACCTCCCTCAACTACACTGTACCATCCCTCGTAGACACGAACCTCTCAAACATCCCCCGCTGTTACGATGGGTGCCGGAGCGTGGGAGTCGCTTGAGGGAAAATGTCCTCACCCTTGATGTCTTTGTATCTGTTTTTTTTTTTTTTTGCTGTCCTGCCTGCAAAAATGTTTTCATATCATCTGACTGTGTATGATTTATTTGTTTGTTCAGAAGATCTACAACTCGGTAATGTAACAAAGCAGGAAATCAGCAGGACTGCAAAAACACTGCAGCAAAGAAGGAGCAGCATCACGCTGCAGTTTAACATATTGCGCTTATAGAACTTTGATATACAAGCCGGTACAGTAACACACATCAATGCATATATGAGACTCCAGTTCAGATTTCCATAGAGGACGATAAAGTCGTCACATGAACTCTCATTAACTACACACAGAGCACATTACGCAGCCCGTCATTCAGCCTGGCCCTTGGGTCCTATGATGTATAGATGATAAGTAGATGCATGAAATTGCTGGCAGGCACCTACAGTACGCCTGTCATTCAGAGCCGTGTGCAAACGGTAACAGTCTCGTGTCACCTAAATGCAAAGGAGGAAAAGTTATTCATCATCCTGCCTTTGCTTAAAACGGGTAGACTGTGGAGAGATAAATGAGTATTTGAATGGTTCTCAGTAGTTCAAGCTAAAAGAGCAATTAAATGTTTCCATCTCAATCATCTTCTATAGCTGTGCTGCAGGAGTAACGTTCGACAAACGCTTATCTCTGTGATCAGAGAACCGCTTTCCGTTAGCTCTGTAGGAAAAGCCAGAGGTCAGGGGACTGTTTGAATGCACAGGGCCGCTCATGCAGAGGGCCACCGACGAGATCTAACATGAAAGCATCTGCGAGGCCATGTGTTGCTTTGGTGGCTCCACTCAGACCTGTTTTTCTTTCAGGCCTCTTTGGTTTAGTCTCGCGTCCCAAGAGGCGTGTTCTTGAACTCACGCCGACCTGAAGCTCTAAGGATCTGAAAACATTTAGAGAGTTGAACAGGAAGTGGTCTGTGAGGAAGATTTCATCAGAGGGTCGGAGATTTTCCCTGGGAAGGATCCTGTCAGTCAGCTGTTCATACACTTTGTTGTTTGTCTCTCAGCTGAGCCTGCGTCAGCTTCTACTTCCTGACCAGTTTGGATTATTTCATTACATCCGTGTCTGCGTCCTGTCATCTTACAGTGCTGATTTTTTTTTTTTTTTTCTTGGAGTTGCATAAGGAGACAAAAATCACAAAAAATAGATGCAACAATATTCACTAAAAACTAATTACCGCACACCTACCATGATTTTCTAAATTCATTTTAGGTGTTGGGCTTAAACATTAGTAGAGATTGTTGGCTGTATTAATAATGTAAACAGTCTTCAGGAAAGCAGTGAAGAGTGCTTCACTGTTTCCTTGGCAGTCCCTCTTGCTAACAGCCTTTAGCACACAAAGGGTTCACAGCAGTCCAACCGAAGCTACCCACAGTGCAGGTTTTATTGTAGTTCAATTGGTATTGAATTAAACCCTCTTGACTGCACAACCTAACACTAAACCAGAATATTTTAAGTGTTCCTGCTGCAGTTGGAGTTGAGTTGTCATACAGGCAAACCTTGGAGGAGGATGTATTTTCTCACCACAAAGACATCATGACTTGAAGAACAGAATCTGCAGACTGTTCTCTGCACCTACAAGTGGGAGGTTTCTTTTTGGTCCAACCTGTATACTCTCTTTGGAGACCACTGAGTGCAGGACTTCATATTCTTTTCTTCGCTGCCATTGTGGTGAGTAGGGGGTTTTCAGTGAAGATGGTTTTGCTGGATGTGTGTAACCGAAAAGCAACACGTTGCTTATGTCACCTTCATAATCAATACTCTTGACTAGTATCACAAACTTTTTGGAAGAAAGACAAGCAGTCATGTTGAAGTTTTTTTCAGTTTTTTCCTTAGCAGCTACTACTTGTAGCCTTGTCTCCTAGAAATCACTTTCCTACTCACTTAAATTGCAGCAGAAAATATGTTTTTAGGACACATAACTATAACTGCATTACGTTTTGTATCAACGTATTGCTCATGAATTTGGCAAGTTAAAATATGTTGATCAGGAGGATATCAGTAATGTTGCTACCATTTTTTTTTCCTACCAAATATACACTTTTGCTTTGGAAATAATACCCTTTTATGCCTTAATCTAGACAGAGAATGTGGAGAGAGATAGGAAATATAGGTTAAGATAGTAGAGCCAGTGTTATACGAGCTGTGTCCGAAATCACCCACTCACTCCCTACTCACTATATAGTGATCACTATATAGGGAGCACCTCAGCAAAGCATCATTTCGGACACTACTCGAGCTTTTAATTACGTCGCTCGGTAGCCGCGATTTGTGCTGCAACAGCGTCGTACAAACACATCAAATTAACAGTTTATTGCGTAGCTAAGAAATCAAATTAAATCAAGTTTTTTGTCATTTTGCTGTACATACCAGATGAGAGAGCGTTTCTTCAGGATCCAGTAGCTAAAAGCAATTTTAAAAAAGTGGTGTTGTATGTCCAAATCACAACTGAGCGCCGCAATTTTAGCGACGTTCACTGTCCGGGTGAAATAAAATTTAACAAAACAAAGGGGAATTTTTCCGCGCTCTCGTTCATCTCCGTTTCCATTTCCTTCCGCACAATGCATGATGGTCCATATTGCTCGGCTAGATACCATCGGCTGTACACTACTTTTTACGGTGCATTGTGGGATATTTTAAGTGCACTATATAGTGGATGAAATTTACCGCTGAGAAGTCGAACAACACTACAAAATGACGTGCACCCTATATAGTGCACTATGCAGGGCATAGGGAGTGATTTCGGACACAGCCGCGGTCCACTGTGCAATGGTGCATGTGTGGAATATGTAGATGCCAACCCACTGTGCATGTATTGAACAGATTTCAAGCAAGTTAGGAAGTAGAATAACAACATGCAGCAAATGGAAACTGGGGTGCTTATTGATGCCCATGTGTAATACACCCTAATTACTTGGCAGTCAGGTCGTCCCATGACTATATATTTTTTTAATGGTGATATTTAGTCACTCATTACATTAAGCAAAGTTTAATACAGAAAAAATCTCCTGTGACTTGAGACACAACATCTTTTTCACATGTAAATCAAAACATGATCTGTCCCGGGTCAATCCTAACCCCAGTAGCTGGTATGACAGTTTTGCGCTTTTTCCGCCCGTCTTCCACCTAAAGACTGTATAAAAGATGGACGTAGCTACCGTGACGTCACCGGTTGGTTTCTGCACTGAGAAAATGAAGCCAGGGTTTTACTACTTCCTGGTTGACATCTTGGATTTTTGGAGCCAGTGACGCAAAAATCGTCGGAGGGGGGCGGAGCCATAGGAGCAGCGATTGGTCAGACGGATTGAGAGGCGGGCCCTCTCTGCCCGCCCACATTTACCGCCTTCTGCTCGTTTCATCTGTATGGTCGCTGCCGACTGTCAATCAAGCCAGCCACGCCCCTTGCCCCGCAAAAATTTTGACGATTTTTTAAAAATTCAGTATTGATTTATTTTCAGATTGGCCACCTGATCTCTGGACTTGACCATGAAAACAAATTTTAAAAAAATCCTGAGCTGGAGGAATGCAGTATTTTGTGATCTGTGATCACTTCTTTTCCAATTCAAGTCTATGGGAGCCAGAGCTTTTTGGAGCCAGCAGCTGGCAGACGTAGGTTTTTGACACTTCCGGGTTGGCTTCATTTTTCAGGGCCGGTTGCTACGTCCATCTTTTATACAGTCTATGCTTCCACCCCAACCAGCTCCTGACAAAGCAGCTCATAAATGCCTCTAAATGTCTGACTCCACCCAGTGGTTACACTGCAGCTGACGAGACAATTTAGTTGTATCCAGACATAATTTCAAGGAAACAGGGTTCATCATGTGCGTGTGTTTGAAATCCCTTGACACGCAACTCTCAATGCTTCAGATGTCGTAACTCATTCTGCTGAGCTGCTTTCTCTCATGACCACTCGAGGTCAGCAAAGTGCAAAGCAGTTTAATAAATGTGTCAAAATATTCTGTCATCAGCACCACCTGTCCCTAAAGAACTGCATGTTATTTGAAGATGCTCGTTTCTAACCTGTTGGCGGCCCCAAGTGAAATGATTCACAAACATATTAAAAAAAAAACGGCTGACAGCTACTTTAAAGGCACAATATCAGATCTCGGCATTTTAGATAATTTTCTCCCCTACTTGTAAAACAAATTAGCTCTTTTAAAACTCCAGTGTTTGAATAAATGACTTGGGGAGTATGTTCAGTCTGGCTACATGGAGAGTGAGATAATGAGCTTGTCAAAGTGATGTGCAGGAGTGTGTGTGTGTGTGACTGCTTGAAATGTCATATATTATTAACCTATCAATGTGCTATTACCCCGTGACAGGAAGCTATTTAAACACAGTTTTCTTTTTTGCTGCGTTGTATCTTTCAATAGTGCCACAGAGGGTCGCCCAAGTCGTAAATTTTCCAAACTGTCCATGCTGTGGCAAGTGAGACTTACTGTGATGGTTGATGGTGTTGATGAGCCGGATTCCTACATGCGCATGGTTGTACGTGACCAAAACGATGTCGAACAGTTCTTCACTTTGTGGGTACAGCTCCCGCAGACGAGCATTGACCGCCTCCAGAGCCTGTCAGGGTAAAGGAAGAGTCAGCTCGGGACAGTAGAAAAAAAAAATAATGCAGATGTTTGTGTGACTTTAACCTTGACGAAGGGGAAAGCAGGTCCAGGGGCGAAGGGTTCATTCTCGTGTTCGATTTGGTATCTCAGATATTCCTCCACACCCTTCTGCTCGAACACCTTCTGCTCCACCTCGGTCCGAAACAAGACGCGAGAAGAAACGGCAACGGTCACGGCATTCTCTGGCTTCGGCTGCGGAAAAAACAGACAAAAGGAGGAGATGGAAATGATGAAGAAGAACAGAAGAAGGGAGGATGAGCAAGCAGTGATGTTCTCAATGGAATGATGACGGGAAAACACACAGAGGAGAGGTTTGGGGTGTCTGAACCTGAAAGTTGAGCCTTCTAACAAAACCCTGCTTTGAATGTTTACATTTTACAAGTGTGGGGAGCTCTTGTATCATTGCCAAAACCTTATTTGGATGCAGTTTCGGATGCTTCACATCACAATGCATGCAAGTACGTGTTCACATGCGTGTCTTTGTAGTGAGGGTGGGAATCGGTCCATTGAAACATTTGCATTTGTGTGTCCAGGTCATAATGGCTTTATGTCTGTAAATAGGCCACATGTGCTGACAGGCGCACTGAGCCATTGTTCCTGCATTTAGCCTTGTTCCATCACAACACTGCTGCCTGCTGATATGTCACCTACTTACCTGTTCACACACACCACCTCCTCAGGATTAATCCTGACCCACATCTCATCAGATTAAAAGTTAGATTTCATCAAACATGATCCAATTTTAACAACTCCTCTCGTCAGTGAAGCTTTTCACACAAAGTCATGCATTTATATTTCACAAACAAAGTGGGAATCCTCGTTTGTCATTCATTTCTATGCATTATGTTTATATTTACATCTAAACTCTCTGCATTAGATTTAAACAGATACTAAACACTGCACGAGCGTTAACTCGGTTCACCGTCTTGCAGGCTTTTCCAACATATTGTACAGCAGTGTGTATACAAACACAGACATTCAGGCATTTGAAGGTGCCATTTGCGTCACACACGCCTCAGGACTCGCTTTATTTTGTCACCAGAGACGGAGAGTGTGTGTGTGAGGTGTGAAGGTTGCTGTTTGTCAGAACAAAACAAAATGAACCCAAAGGACCTTCAAAGTGAAGTGAAGGTGAAAATCATAATGTTGATGTTGTTTTTGTGTGAAAGACGAGAATCACAAATGTGTTGAAATGATATGAGTGGGACATTATCAGTAGAGGGAATCCATGCTTATGTTAGCAAGCTGCAGGCATACCTTAAATGAGCAGAAGTTAACTTTTCCAGCATGCAACCTTCAATTTTACAAAGGATAATTTAAGCTTAATTCACACCAGGGTTCTTCTGAGTGTTCAGTGTTATTAACAGATGTTTTAAAACATTATCTGCCTTTAAAAAAGGAGGGAAACATTTTGCATGCTTTACCAGTCTGTGAAAGCTTTCACTACTTGTGGAGTCAAAGTCTTTGCATCACATCTGCTCTATTGTGTCACTCGCTGCAGTAAGTCTGTGAAATTTGTCTTTCAGCAATTCATTCACTTGTGTTTCTGGAAAAAATAATGTGCCAAGAAGTGCCAGCATTCTTTCTGACAGCCAGCAGGGGGCGACACATTTGTGGCCCAAAAAAAGTCAGATTGTATAGAAGTTTGCAAGAAAATTGCCCTACTTCTCACTTGATCTGTTACTTCAGCAAACATTTTCCTCTTGAGTTTATAGTCTCAGTCTTACACTTCAAGCCTCTTTTAATACTACATGGTGTTAATTTTGCAACATGTGGTCCCATTTAGAGGAAAACAGTTGATGAAGCAGGGTATGTTGTAGGACTGGGCTACTGTGTCTCAGTGCATAGTGTCCTCTGGTTCTCCAGTCACACAGAGCGTACACTTGGAAGACTGAGATATTCACTGAATTTGACAAAAAAAAAAGTGTATTGAATTACAACCACATACGCCACCTTTGTCTATGTCATTGTATCTTGCTTTAATCTCTGTTCCAAAAAACTCACCAGTGCTCTTTTTCAGTCTCTTAGTTTTAGTCTGCTGGCTAAAAACATCTACTCTACCTCACAACATGTAGACTTTACCACAATTCTATAGCAACCCGTCAACTCGTTCGTGGACTCTTGTTGATCAATGATGTTTATGCCAAGATTGTGCCATATCAGAGTTACAGTAACTGTCACTTCCCCACTTTTGAACAGAGTTCATATCAACATGCAAATCCTCTTTATGACTGGGACAGGCATATTTTTAAAAAAAACAAAAAAAAACAAGTATGGAAGTGCCAGCAAGCAAACATGTTCAAAGGAAGAGCGGTGTATTGAATGAGCACTGTAACTGAACTCTCAGACAGCAGCAAAACTAACTTAACATTGGTGCACGTCGTTCAAACTACACTCCTGTACATAAGCATGCTTTTCTGTGCAGAAAAATACTGTTTGCCAAAGTTCGAGTCTTTCTGTTTTATCGTTTCATGTTGGAATACGCTGCAATAAAAGAGAAGCAGCAGCACCAGAGGACTGGTAGCTGCCATTTTAAGTTGTTGAGTTGTCAGCTTGGGAGGTTGTAAACACACGAGTCTTTCCGATCACAACCTTTCCTCTGACCTGATGTGAATGCCTGATAAGTCCACAAATGACTGCAGCTTATGGAAATGGTGTTTGATAAAGGCCACCCCAAACGTAAATGTTTAACGAATGACAATATTAGATCACCTGTTTTTCAAACAGCTACAGTCCTTATCTTGATATATAGACAGGTAACAAAGGAAAAGTTGAATGGAAAAACATAAAGTGTAGCATAACAGAAGCACAAGATCCCCTCACTGAAGGGGTCAAACATTAAGGACTGTGTGATTCTCTTGGTGTACGCCACAAGTGCACTGGTCCACTCATTTGTCTACATGACTCTTGTCCACATCTCTGGGCAACAATGGTGATCGTTGTTGCACCGCTAAACTCCCCATTTTGTAATGAGGAGTTTATGCACTGCAACACCGCTGTAATAACTAACTATCTGTCTAACTAACTTGTCGATGGACTGACAGTCTGATCACATCCTGCAGTGACATTCTCGGTCACCTGAGGAAGAATTGCTCCTCTTGTTTTCTTTACATTTTGCACAAAGGCACGAGCATCACTGTCAACAGGTGCATGCTGCCGTTACCATAGATCTAAATGCACTTTAGTCACAAGCCCGTTGTGCAGTCTTTTTGACTAAAGCTCCTGCCATCTGTGCCACAACACTGAGCCCCTTTCGGTTACTGTCATGCAGTGTAACTGGGGTTGCTCAGCATTTTTATTTATACCACAGAGCGTGGCTGGAATTTAATTGTGTGAAATCATCTGCATTTGTTGTGATTTGATTCTGTTGATTTGTGATCCACCTGTAAGAGATGAGCCACATCATATACTGCTGAGAAAATATTTAAAAAATGAAAGATTTGTTTGCGGGCTGCAGGGTGATGCAGTTGGTAGTACTGTTGACTCGCAGCAAGAAGGTTGCTGGTTCGCGTCCTGGTGGGGTCACCGGAATCTTTCTGCGTGGAGTTTGCATGTTCTCCCCGTGCAGCGTGGGTTCTCTCCGAGTTCTCCGGCTTCCTCCCACAAAACATGTTGAAGTTAATTGGTGATTCTAAATTGTCCGTAGGTGTGAATGTGAGTGTGCTTGGTTGTCTGTCTCTAAGTGTAGCCCTGTGATAGACTGGTGACCTGTCCAGGTGAACCTGCCTTCACCCTGAGTCAGCTGGGATAGACTCCAGCCCCCCGCGACCCTAGTGAGGATTAAGCGGTGTATAGACAATGGATGGATGGAAGATTTGTTTGCACCATGAGGACAGATTTTAGTGCCTATAGAAGAGCAAATAGTTGGTGAACTATCACGATACAGCCCTAACCAAAGCATACAGTGAGTGTAAAGAGCCACGCCCGCCTCGTGATTAAAACGCAGTGAGTTGGATTTACAGCTCAGTCCAGTCAGTGACATCCAGGACAATGTGAATCAACATGACAGCACACATGACGATGCATCAGGTCAGGCTGCTGGTTAGTAGAGTGCGTGTGACCGTGATCATGCAGGCATCAGCAGCCAGCACAGAGGAGGTTAAAACAGGGTGGAGGGGCAGCACTGATGGCCGGTCAGTAGCCATGGACACCACTTTTGACCTCACACGATGATGGGGTATACTTACGAAGAACACGCCTCCCTCCACCTTCCGGGCTCGTCTCCCTGTCACCTTAGCAGAATGACAGTTTGTTTATATTCAGCAGAAAGAATTTTCCACATCTTTAAATCTCTCTTATTGACTTTAGTGTCCTGGTAAGACTTTTTTTTTTTTTTTTTTGCAATGTCCGATACATAAATCATATTTTTTTTAAAGCAATGAATCAATTTATATATAAGGCATGTCTGCAGACAGGTGAACCTATGTTTAAAGAGCTCTGTTTGCAGGGGAGAGCACAGTGCTTAGAGACAGCTTTGCAGATGTAGAAGACCTGCTGCAGCTTATCCGTTAGAGTCAGTTTACTCTATGAATAACATGTCACACAGCCTGGGAGTTATCCCAGAGCGAGAGTTTAGTCCTTTGCTGTGATTCGATACCGGTAGTGTTAACTGCCTGCCCTCTCTCGGGGGGCCTTCAACCCGCTGGGAATGCATCGACCACAAGGCTCCTTTTGCACAGGAACCCACAGCAACTGTAATCACCTCAAACCCATTGATTTGTATGAAGGCAGCCATAAATAATTAAACTCGATGAAAGCAAACATTCACGTGTGTCTCTCTCTGAAGTCTCCGTCAGCACTCCCCTCCATACATTAATCCTGTCAGAGCTTTGCCACGTCAGCAGGACTAGTATCTGTGCATAACCCTGATCCATGACTCATCTTGTTATTTACATATCAAGAGGCTGTGAGACATCCCTTGTATCCATGGGGGGAATGAAAAGGCGAGAGATGGAAGGGATTTCCAGACACCAGGCCGAGACACACCGGAGGGGGAAGCAGTGGGAAAAAAAAAATAAAGAGAGGTGAGAGTGTGAGCAGAAAGTGACGGGGCGGGTGGAGCGGTGAGCAGCAGCGGGGTGGCAGATATTTATAGATAAACTAAAGGCCAGCGATGATGCAGTCTGTTTGTGTCTTGGCAGATCTGGTAACACCGGAGTGTGACTGAACACTGCCAGTGACGGCGCTGTTAATGTAGCGGCTGAGCTGAAATCAGGTCAGTGTTGTCCCTTTAATTAAAAATTACATACGAGCCAGCGAGTCACAGGAATCCCGGAAATAATGTGTGATTACACATTTGGTGTGTACAGTGGTTTTTGTCAGTGTTGCCGTATGTGTCTGAATGAGAGGAATTCCATCTAGTTTTGGTTCATGTTGATAGAATATGGCTTTCTGGCAGTAACGCCACAAGAACTTCTGTTTTCTCTGAGTTTAGCCACATCTTTTCAGGGAATTACCTTCCCTGGAGTAGATTGTTTTTTTTTCTCCCGTGAAAACATCCCTGAAAGATGTTCTCCACAGGTAGCACCAACATGGCCTCCCACCTTATGGAAGACACCGAAAACACTGAGACAGTTTAAATCTATAGATGAACTGGGGAAAGTGAAGCAAAAATTGATTTAGTTTACTTTTTTTTCAAACTGTCTTTCTGTTCATTGCACAGTAGTAGTTGATTTAAAAAAAATCCTGGTATGACTTTTGAAATCATCCTTTATTTACTTTTAGACTAAAGCACTGGCAAAGTAAAGCTTATCAAAGAGTAAAGCTAATATCCTTAGAAAGAAGGAAATAAATAGCACAGAAAACAGCTTTTCCAACTCCCTGGCTTATTAAGCTGCAAATAGCTCGCTAATTAATACCTAATTTAGAAGATAACTTAAAGAAACATTTATGTGGTATTGCAGCAAAGAGCTTTTTATTCTTAGTGTATGTTTTTATTACATTTTATTCTGGTTGGCTGTTGAATGCTACAAACTTGATCCAAACAACAAACAACATGTGGCTACATTAGCTAACGATGTGCTAGTTAGCCTTTGAAATGGTTTGGTGGTATTTTGGTTGTTAACACTCCCCTCTTGTGGTATTTACAGTCGTCGGTGGAAATTATTTGAAAGCCTCATAAGATGACATTTGCGAAGAAATGGCAGAAGCCATGAAAAACTAGTACATTGTAATTTGAGTCACTTTCCATTAAACTTTTGCTCTTCCTAGATTATGTTATGTGGTCGTTAGCTTGCTAAGTGGTTTTAGATGCTACTAACATCACAACATGATGACGTCCAATGTTTCCACCAAAAGTGTTTTGTTCGGATGCAGCCCAATATGCTAGTTAGCAGGATATGCTAATGTTGAGTTTTATTCCTGTGTTCCAACTTTCTACTTCTATATTTATTCATTTAAAATTTAATGTTTTTTTGTTTTTTTTTAAATTTACAAGACTCAGGCTGACAAAAAAACTCAACTCAATCACGGAATTAAGTCAATTGTCCCTTCTTGGTCCTCCTCCACCGATTAAATGCAGATGAAAAGTGGTTTGAATTTATCATGAATGCTACTTAATTCCTCTGACCTTCCCATTTAATGTTAATTAAAATGATATAACGAATTAACGCGGCACTTGTCTTTTATGAATAAACCCTGTGTTGTTGAATAAAAAAGTCCCATTACTGAAAAACTGCTTCTTTTCTATCTTTTATGTTCAATCTTTTGGGTGGCCTGTTATTCCTTAATGGGGCCGTCATCCATGGAAACATATCACCAGATAAAAATGCATCATAAAGCGAATTTCATGATGTTTGATTACTGTAGAACTAAAAGCTTTTAGTGAGTCTATTCTGTCAAAATGAAAAATGTGCTAAACTGTGAATTGTGTTCAAAATAGTCATACTAAGAGATTTATGATGAGCAAATGCCATAAAAAATAACACAAAATGATATCTTAATAGCCCTGTCTGCACTCTGCTCAGTTGTTACTGTCAAAATCTAATTTCACAGATATTAATTTGAAGAAAAGCCCTATAATCTGTCAATGTTGAATAATCACGTGCAGTTTACCGTCAGTCTGTCGTGTCCACGTGATGTGATACGTATCTGCCGTGCATTAGACAGTAATGTAATGCAGTTATATGTGGATTGACTGTTAAGCCCTGTTATTGGGATATGGTAATGGATGTTTACCGTCTGAAATACACCACCGCCACTAATCCTCAAGCAGCAGATTACTCAGCTTTTAGCCACTTTAGTCTGTGTTCCTCACCAGCAATTTTGTTCGCTCGTTAGTGTTTTTTTCTGTCTTTACATTCCTCCACGTTTGTTTCTTTGGGCTTATTAACGGCTTTCATGTGTTAAATTGCAGTAACTCCCTCGCAGAGTCAGCAGCGTGTTCCCTGATTCCCTGGAAATGCGACAGCGTGTCCTCTTCAGTATGTTGATGTCCTGCAATGCTATAAACAGAACTAAACCTTTGCCAGCGAGTGTGACTGGTTCTCTTTTAATTGTCAGCTCGGATTCACGTTAACCTTTTGCAAACGGGAATCTTGTTTCTAATAAGTTTTTCAGCTCTGGAGGAAGAACTGTGGACCTACTGTATGAGTCACAACAAATTAAAGTTTGTAGGACAGTTGCATTAGTCACAATAAACATCTGTTGATCTTCTGTTGATCTCCTGTGAGTTTTGACTACGCCGTACTTTGCATGAAGAATAAAAACATGATTCTTATTTGGACCAAATCTAACATCACTGAGCCCTCAGACTTGACAAAGACAAGTCACAAAAAGTAATCTAGTCAGGTTAGCTTCTTAGCCTAGCATGCTCATGTATAAATGTCCTGTTATGTAATAGGAGTCTGACCCTAAAGACGACACACTCAAGAACACACTTGGCCACATGCTGTGTCTGACCTTGCCTGACCCCCAGTCCCCCTGTTTATGAGCTACACTTTAAGCTGCACGTGGGCGACGTAAACATCTGACTCAAAGTAATAAGCCGGGAGGAACAGCAACAGGGCAGAGCAGATGAGAGAACAGGGCACAGGGATGGTTGGTAGACATTCACTAACACAAAGGCCTTTGCGCCCCATGATGACGGTCAGACACAGATGTACAAGCAGCTCCGACACTTACTGATTTTGGCTTGGAAGTCAGGACCAGGTGGTCTTGGTCAAGCTCTTCCTTCTCCTCCCATGATCCTCTGCTGTCCCCGTTGGACGAAGGGGCGACTTTGAGCTCCTCCACCTGTCCGCTCATCACCTGCACAGGATCCAGACTCATCTTCACCATAGAGGATCCCTCAGCTTCCGAAGCGAGCCAGGCTACTCTACCTTAAGTTGCTGTACTTTTCTTAGGTGAAAAAAAAGTAAAACCGAGCAAACAAGAAATCCGTAGCATTTATCGAGATTCTCCTGTCACATACATTGGTTTGCTACTGTGCTTGTTTTTTTTTTTTTACTCAGGTTGACCTGAAAGCAAGTGTGAAGAGCGAAAGTGTTCTGCCTCTTTGTCACTTGTCTTTATCCCCCTGTTTTTTTTCCCTGCTCAAGAGGATTATTCCTCTCTGCATCCAGGATATGGACTCACTCCTTCACAACCATTATCCTACAAACAGTTCCTGCTCTGCTACAGTATGCATGCATACACACATACTGTCAAACATACAATCTGTCCTTTGTGAGTGTGCAGCAGTCCATCTGCTGCTACCTCTCAGTCTCCCTCTATCCCCTCTCAGTGCCCTCCACTCCCTCCCTGTCCCATTCAATCACTCTCTCAGCTCCCCGGCTCCGTTCGTTCCCCTCTCGCTGACCAATCACAGGCCTGCTTCCTTATTCAGTCCGGCCCCGCCTCTTCCTCCCCTCCACCCTCACCCTACTGTCCCCTTGTTGGCGGGGCAGTTTGCCCAAGAGGCTCATGGGAAGTTCAGGCACTCACTAAGTACACAGCAAAAAATAGCCATCATGATGAGCCATTTAATCTAGAGGCAAATTAAAAAGGGTTTTTTTTTTTTTTTTAACAAGTGAGACCAAGTGAGGGGATAATGCTTGTTGGCAAATGAGCTGAAAAACTGGATAAATCATCAGGAAATGGTTGAATTCTCGTCTCATATTGGTAGAATTTAGCTTTGATTTTTGATGAAATGTTTCCTGCAGTACACATCCTCAACATTTCTTCTTATTTTTAACTGGAACATGTTGGTTTACATAAGTTAAAACCCTCCTAAAAGTTAAAAAATTATAATAAAATAGCAGGAAAGTTATACATAAATAGGTTTCAACTTAAAAGAAGACTGCTGACTGTGTGTGAGAGGGAGTGAGGGAGCGGTTTATCAGGGGATGGGGATGGATTAGCCTAAAGGTAGCAGATAATGGATGTAACCTTCATTAAAAATCAAGGTTGTACAGCGAGTTAAACACAGGTCCATTAGTGTCCTTACCCTGGCGTCCTGACTGCACCAGTGTCGGGTTTACAGCAGCTGAATGCCCGTGTGGCTCACGGTCATGTTAATGCCGCGATAACTTTAACAATTCATTCATATTTTAATTAAAGGGGGGGGAAAAAAAGTATTCATGTTTCACAGCTCCATGGAGCCGGAGCATAACGCCTGAGGAGATCTGTAATAGATGGTGAGACTGCAGGAACAGTGGGTCTTCTTGCATGGCTGTACCTCTGATCTGCTCAATTGGAAGCACGTTAAAAATATAGTAATATAACAATAATAAACTTGTGCCTTCCAATAAAAATAAAAATAAAACAAAGCACACAGAGTAAGACAAAATAACAATAAAATAAAGAACACAAATAGATCATTTAAGAGGGAACATGTTTGTTTTATGCACCAGCTTGGTGGATAAAAGCAGCAACAAGAGGCTATAAAAACATAACACTTAAAGCCTGAATAAAATCAGGGAAAAGCTCTCCAATAAAAATGTGTTTTAAGAAGTGACTTAAGAAGAGAGCAGAGATTCAGCCGACCTGATGTCCTCGGGCAGGTCACTCCAGAGCCTCTGAAGACATGTTGTTGAATATTATTTTAAGCACAGACTTGTTGTGGATGAAACAGTGATGATTAATGATTTTAAGACAAGCCGTCAACCTTGTTACGGACAATAAAAAGAAACTTCACAGGCATTGATTTAGTAGTAGTAGATTCAAAAACATTTTTCAGCAACATTTTTGTATCAGGAACCAGTAGTGATCCAAAGAGATCACCTATACAAGCAGCCAAAATGAGTTTCTTGCATTGGGTGGCGGGGCTCAGCCTCACAGACAGTAAGCCTTGACATCAGAAATGCTCCTTCATGTTGAAAGCAGTTATCTGAGGAGGTTTCTGATGAGGACGTCTACTGAGCGCCTTCCTTTGGCGATCCAGAGCTCGCTGTAGAGCAGGGGTGTAAAACTCTGGTCCTCGAAGGCCGCAATCCTGCATGTTTTAGATGTTTCCCTCTTCCAACACACCTGATTCAAATGATCAGCTCATCATCAAGCTCTGCAGAAGCCTGATAACGATCCTGATCATTTGAATCAGGTGTGTTGGAATTTCTGGGCCAATAATAATCGGTTTGGATGGAATTTTCAGGTGAAGTTCTGTGATCTCACTGAGGCTACAGAGCTTTCTTTAGTTCTCTGCTCAATTATTTCTCTCAGAAAAAACTCACATAAATGCATACTTTAGATGCATCCTTACAGCTTTCAAGTGTTTCCTACAGTCCAAACATTTCATTTGGGTTAATTAGCCATAATTAGTATTATTTAGTTCTACTATTGTTTGTACTGGCTTTAAATGCCCAAACTGATTTAGTAGTGCAGTTCTACAAAGCCTCAGAAAACATCCTTTAATAAGCAAGGTTCTAAATCCTGAATACTAGTTTGTACAGTGTGCATCACTCTTCAGAGACACTGGGTCTTACATTTTGCATAATGCAACTGGGTGGTATGTTTTTGTCAGATTTACCGTCTAGTATTTTTGACACTCTGTTCCTCTGTTTTTTAACTCAGGCATTATATTATAAATTTCTCTAGATTCATCGCAAAAATGGTGGAACACAAGTTTGATGTTGTGATCTGACAATTACATGCAGGTCATTTTTCTAGATATATAGGCTATTAAAATCTAATTGAGTTTATAACTGAGGAATCTTTGTTTCATCTAATAACTGTTAATACGACCAAAAGGACAAGAAGTACATGGATAAATGCATCAGTAGTATTTGTGTTGACAGCAGTGATGGTAGCACTAGCTGTAGTAGTTAGCAGTAGAGTTTCTTCCTTTTTTCTGACATTACTCTCTACTTGTGGACTTTCACAGTGTGAGGGGAGGTTGCTGAGCAGCCTCATTCATCAGACCGCTCACTGGTCAGTGTGACTCTGACTCAGTGGGAGAAAATGGATTGTTTTGCAGTCGAATGCCGACATCTGTTGAGATTTTTGCATCTATTGTTTGATTCTGCTTTTGCATGGTCACAGAAGTTCTGCGAGGCAGCCGACCTCCATGTGGTCTTTGCCAGGCCTGTGCAGTTAAAGTGCTGCTGACACGCTGTCAGGACTTGGGAGCGTGACTGAGGTTACAGCGCCACCCCGTGGCCGCTCCGCCAACTGCACCCCCTTTTCTGTGACCTCTATTACTGCAGTGTGATTCACTGTTTCTCTGCTGCCTATAGCCTCTGTGTGCGCATTTGCGATGTTGGGTTTTCCACTGAGCTGAAGCCTGATGCAGTGAGGCTCAGAATAGATTTATATTGATTCGTGATGGACAGTTAGAGAATGGGCAATGGAAAAAAAAAAAAAAAGAAAGAAAGAAAGAAAAAAAAGGAGGTTAGCAGGCACAGTTTAACAGAGGAGGGAACTGAAAGCAGGAGGATGAGGACCACATTTTTGTCTTTACTGATCTCCACATAAACCGAGAGCTAAAACTGGATTTTAAAAGACATTCTCTTGATTTTTCAGCATCAGATATGTGCTTTATTGTTTCCATCTCTTGTGGGAGAACAATATATAAAAGTGATTGCCTGCACTGATTCATAAAGTCAAAGCTCAATCCTCGTGAGTCATTTCATTGTGTTTTAATTATTCCTCCGTCGCTGTCCAGCTGAGTAAATTAGAGTCCGCAGACACCACCGGCAACATTAATTTCCGCAGTGATTAAATTTCCTGACGCGTGTATGTGGATCCACTCTTTTTGTATGAAGATGTGCAGTAATGTCGGAGCGTTTGGCGTGTGTTTGCGTCTCCCTGCCTTGTGGCCTCAGCACGGTTACCATGAGAACAGCATGGATGGTGACATCACTGCAGTGGTGTGACATCACTCCCAGATGGTGACTCATACTCTTGGCTCAGTGTGTGTGTGTGTGTGTGTGTGTGAATGTGTGAAGATGCGATCAGAGGAAAACACACAAGCCAAAGCAAGGAAGCAACAACAATTCACTCTCGACATCCATGTGTTTTATTCTATGTAACAAAAATAATTACATCGTCTTTGTTCTAGGAGTCTAACAATATTGAAAACAAAAGAAAAACCGAAGCGAAAATCATCCGACGGGACAAATAGACATTTACATGAACATCTTAGAGAAATGTTTTTAAGATTAGAATTATATTGCACAACCGAGCACGAATGATCCCCCCTGTCAAAAAGAAAAAGTAGAACATCCACGTTCGTATTCATGTCGCACAGCTCAGAGTGTCTGCTCCGAGCTTTTCTGAAGACTCAAGAACTGTGTCACACGTGATCAATACGGCATCGCTTTAACTCCACCTAGTACAACCACGGCAGTCGTGTATATATATATTTCAACACCAACCCATCTTTGGCACATGAAATCAAAGTAAGACAAATAAAAATAAAACGCGTCTGCAGTCTTGGGAAGTAACAGAAAAGTGTCTGGTTTGCTCTGAACCGGTGCTAATGAGGATGGATGGAGTCTAATCACCAGAGAGAGATGAACACATTTTGAAGCCATTTTGTGAACCAATGTGTTCTGATCAAACTGTAATGAAGCTTTTAACAATAATATAGTGAGTAAAAAATAAGAAAACCATATGGAAATATTTTACAAGATTTTTGTAGGATCAGTTTAATATTACCTGTGTTTTTCTTAAAATATGTGCAAAATGACTTCCAGAGGAGTTTGACTTGAACAAGTTTTAAAAACTGTTGAAAAACTCAAACATCAGCATGTTATGATTGTGAAGTAAAGGTAATTTTCATTTGGAGCCGCTTTCAGCTTTGTTCTTGCTTTAACTAACTCCTGAAGAATTTTAGTTTGTCGTTTGATTTCATGCATTTAGCAAAGTTTTTTTTAAACTGCTGTGGAAATGCTGTTGATGGAAGTGGACATGCAGGCAGGAAAATGCAAAACAGTGAGTTAAAACAGGCTAAAAACATTTTAAAGGGTTGGGTGATGACTCTCTGTAGCTTTGTCACACATAGGAATTTTTTTCTGAAGTAAAAGTTACTGGTGCAGCTGTAAATGTGTCTGTTTATTCTAACAGGTCGATCAATAACATGAAAAAAACTGCGTGAAACTCCTTTTTCCTTTTTGTTTTTTTTTTTGCACATGCTGCTCTAAACTTTCTGACACGTCAAATCCTTTCCATGAAGGTGATTTAATGGAAAGGTTCAGCCTTTGCATGCACGTCTGCATCATTTATTATTTAAAAAAAAGAAGTCCACTGACCACCATAATCTACCTTAGAATCCTGTCAGAGTCTCACTCCACTGTCACATTTCTGCACTTTTGAGAAAAACACGAGCGGGAGAGAGCGAAAAAATAATCTGAGAAAGCTGTCTGCATTACATAATGTTGCTAGCTTTGATCTCCAGGCATGTTCATTACATAATAAACGAAGGAGAAACTGTACAGTAGTTGAGTAGTTGTGAACCGTGGCGTTTCGCTTCCATCCACTGGGTGACACTGTGACACAGGACTGTTGCTTTTTTTTTTTTTATCATTCCTATCAGAGATCTCTCACACCTCAGGCTTCTCCTGAACCAACAAGCTTCATTTCAAAACACCCCTCTCCTCACCGCTGATCTGCCACTTGGTGAAAAACTAGCCAGCATATATGAGTATTACTTGTAAAACTGCAACAGTACGCCAACAAAACGTGTCCCATGTCGGGGGGACAGTACATACTGTATACCAGCGGACCACAAAAGCAAATGTAGTTGTGGGTAATAATACTCAGTGCTTCATTGTGAGGATTTACACTCATTTTTTTTTTTTTTTTTTTACAAAGTTAAACTAGTCTGAGGCATCTCTTGTTACACAAATGATACAAATACAAAAAACACGTGAACACTCGCACAAGTGCCGCACACACTGAGCTTTCACAAGCACTCACAGTTACTCAGGCTCACCATGTCATCCACACACACACACACACACACACACAATCACACACACACACGCTCACACACACACACACACGCTCACACACGCTCACACACACTCACAATCACACACAGTAGCCGTGTCATCATATGAAATTAACTCTAAGCTAGTGGTACATTTACATTTACATATTATATTTGTTTATATTCATAAATACGATTACAGTCGTATTGTAATGTACATGTAGGTTTATCTTTACATTATCGCACAGAGGACGCTCTTCCTGCAGCTATAGGGAGGGAGCAGGCTCGTCGGCTTGAGTGAGAAGGAGGAGATCATCTGATTTGCCGACTGGAGACGAGTCTAATATTTACGTCTCGAAAAATGGAAATGGCAATGATCCCGTGGAAAAGTGGAACAGTCTGAATTATAATCTCCAATGAAGGACCGAGGTCCAGGTAATTGACCTGGAGGTATCTTTTTAATAGCTAGGTGCTCTCTTGAATCTACACAGGTGTATTCCACGCAAACGAAAGGATATACAGCCATGTTGTAATTCCCTGCTCTACAATATAACGTACAGAGAGCTTGGGCACGAATATGAAATGAGCTGGACTTTATTCATCTGTATTAGCAGTGTGATTCTCTTTTTCTCTCTTTCCCACTGTAATTTCTGAGACAGTCAGATGAACAAATCCCCTAATTTTTCATAACCACTCCACAAGCAGAAAAGATTGCATTTCCCCAAAAAAATATAAAGTGTATTTGCTTTTGTAAATACAACTAGCTTTCAAAAGTGTCGCAACATTCACTACAATTAATCGTGGAAATAACTACGTTTTGGTAAACACTTTCTTTTTTTCTTTCATTTTCTTGCTGATGGTCAGAGAACAAGATTGATACCACTGTTATGTCAGTACATCGAGGTAAATATTAGGCTAAGGCCTGGAGATGGCTAGCTTAGCCTAAGCCAGACTCAAAGTTGAAAAAATTGGGAACTAGCCAACTAGCTTGACTCTAAATTTTTAAAAACCCATCTCTTGTTATGTCTAAAGTTCACCAATCACATTTGTTAAGTCCATACCAAAAGTTAATAAAATTTTTTTCCCCTCATGCTATCAGTCATAGTGCTAAGCTAAGCTAAGCTAAGCTAAGCTAAGCTAAGCTAAGCTAAGTGTCTCATATTTCTTACACAGTTAAATAAGTGGGCCTCTTCTTGGATTTTTATAAAACATAATAAATTTGATAGAACCTTTGCTCTAAAATGGAAATTAAAACATTCATGTAGCATTTTGAGCTAATTAGCTAGCACACTCACAGGTTGTAGCTGTACATTTCCAGCTCTTTACAAATGAATGTGCAATCACTCCCTCCAGCTACCTGCGTCTCAAACACACACGAACACACGAACACAACAACCCCGAGCTACCTCCTCAACCTTCTGCTCTTTTTCACATCGATTTTAGATCTGAGCTGAGTTCAGCCAAGTTCCTCTCCGGCCACCTATTATCAAAGCGCTTCCTCTCTGACATTTAGGGAGGAAGAAGACAAAAAGGCGGGAGAGCAGGACAGTGGGAGAGGAAGAGGAGAGACGGCTATTTCAGCTTTTCATGTGAAACAACAATGAATCACGGAGGCAGGTTTGGCCTTTCTGAGAAATACCGTTTCTGTCGTAAGGCCTGTAATTACTGTCCTGATTATCCCCCACTCCACGCTGTTCTAGTGGCTCCTCCTGTTGCTCAAATTGCTGCTCTTCAAGAAGCAAGACCACGTAGGTATCAGGATGCAAGTTTTTTTTATTTTATCTATTTATTTGTCTTTATTCTGTCTATATCACAGCTCTGTTTTTTTTCCTCTTTTTTTGGTTAGTTTTTTACACTCAGACAGGTAAGTCGTCACAAACTAGTTAATGATGTTCATTAAAATTAAACCTATAATCCAAAAATAAATATCCAAATCTGGAGCAGCATTTTTAAAAGTAATTAACTGTGGTCTATCACAGCTAATGAACTTGATCTAATATTTGAAACAAGTCTTCTCAGTGGGCTGGTCTCTGTTGCAAACAGGTAATGTCCCTTATTTCATTACAAACCAGAATTTAGCAACACTTAAATCAGATTTTGTTCACGTTTGGGGGGCTGTTTGCTTATGATGCACTGAATCTGATCACAGATCAGTGAAGATTTTGGCTGTATTGAAAATAATACCTAAGGAAGTTATTTTCTAGATTTAAAAATGGAAATTACATGTCATAATAAAATTCTTGAGATTCATTTTTAGGGGCTATAGAGCCACTCTGTGTTGAATAACAACACTGGGACAATGGCAGACAGGAATGCCTTGAAATATACTTTGAAGACAACCCTATACTATGAATTGTCTTTTGATTTTGCTATCAAAAGACAGATTTGAAAGACACTACAATTATGTAAAAGGGGCTCTAATTATGATACTGCCACCTGACATAACCACAAATAAAACGATGAAGGGAGCCTGGTCTCCTGCAGCTCTACATCACACGGAGGACGAGACTTTATTCTAACCTGATTACAAGCCCTTCCATCAAAACACATGTAATCGTTTTGATAAGATATTGATTTTGTTATCAAATGCGGGACAGCTTTAGGCACAGCCAGAAGTCACTGAGTAGCGCATCAGTATGCCTCACCATGCTGCCGGAGGCAGCCGTCTGAGACATTCATCACCTGCCCGCCTTGTACTTAGAGAACAAAGCATGTGGACACTGTGCCGTAATCTGGGAGAAACGCTCGCTGTAAATGCGGTCGAGCTGGTTGTGAATTTAGCCGTGGAGGAGCTGACGAACGCCGTCGCACATTCACGCACAAACACATGCAGGAGGGGCAGTTTGATCAGGCGTCTTGAGGCAAATATCCTGACCACCTGTATTCACATATCGTTGAGGTCGTGCTCACATATCACTAAAAAGACGAACACACAACGGCTAACGGTGTTGTTAAGTGACAGAATTCTCTCTCGAGCAGCGTGACATTTGATTTCTTCTTGGTGCTCTAGAAAGACCATATGGCCCAAACAACAGGTCCTTAGTTGGTGCAGTGCCATTTCATTTATATTCTACTGTCCCACAGTGCACAGCTTTGAAACACTGGGTTTACTTAGAAATTAGATTTTTCAATGCCAGAATTTAGACTGGTGGCCAATGGGACATTCAAGTAATAGTCTGACATTTTAGGAAACAGAATTATTTGACACCTCTCTCATGTCTGTATGATAGAAGTAGCTGTTTAGCAGTTAGCTTAGCATCACAGAAAGACTGGGGGGAAACAGCTAGCCTGGCTCTACATGAAGGATTATTTCTTGGCCAAAAGCACTGACTTCTTCAGGCCTGGCAACGTTGCTGTGTTCTTGAACAGGGGGCAAGTTAGCTGTTCTCCCCAGACTTCAGCCTCTATGTTAAGCTAAACTGTCTCCTGACTGTAGCTTCATATCAGGGAGTGGTATCAATCTTTTCATCTAACGCTAGGAAAGAAAACCAATAAGCGTGGCATATGTAGGCTTACATCAGTTGGAAGTAAATCAGTTTGCAATTACATCTTGTACGATTAATATCTTGGGCAAACAATGCATTATTTGAATACTTGTGTTCGAGACAAGACAGCTGATCTTTGCACTTGGATCCCCTGCAGTTTTGTAATGTCACATGCCAGGCACTGATCCTGACAGTGTGAAAGCATGAGTGACACTTACACTACATATTTCCTGTGTAAATCCCTACCAGGTTTCTTTGGTCTGTGCCAAACGGAGCTGGAGGGATTTCCACTTTTCACAGATCATCACACTGAATATATAAAGACACCCATCTAGAGCGAGGCGGCAGTGCTGTAGGAGAGCAACGCACAGCAGGGTGGCCTGCAAAAAAAAAGAATGGCATCAATCAGGGAGCCACCGTGTCCCAAACATGGCTCATTTCCAGTCATCTCTGTCTCAGAAAATAAGGGAAAAAAACCTCCCTGCCTCTCCTCCTCCTCCTCCCTCCTCCTGCAGCAACCCTCCCTTTCTACTCCCACCTCCCTCAGCCTCCTTCCTTCTCTAATTTCAGTTCAGACTTACCCTGTCCCTCCCTCCCTCCTCCCTCCCTCTGCTTCTCCACCCATCCCTCTCTACTTCTGCATGTCACACTGCAGCAGTAGGACGATGGAGGGGTCAGACTTGGCGGCTTCCTTAAACTCTTCCAAGGTGATCTCATCGTTGTGATCCTTGTCCATCTTGGAGAAGATCTTGTCCACGCGCTGCTGAGGGGTCAGCCCGTCCTCGTTCATGCGCATCATGATCACTGTGCCGACCATCTTGTAGATGGCCTGCAGAGGGAGAAAGGGATTGGATTTAGTCTTAAAACGGTATAAAGAACAGAGCGGGTTTCCCGTCATGCTCCTCACAGACACGCACCTCAATGATCTCCAGCATCTCCATACGTGTGATCTTTCCATCTCCATCCAGGTCATACATGTTGAAAGCCCAGTTGAGCTTCTGCTCAAAGCTGCCCCTGGAGGTGATGGACAGGGCGCAGATGAACTCCCTGAAGTCGATGGTCCCGTCACCGTTCTTGTCGAATGTCCGGAAAGCGTGCTGAGCGAACTTGGAAGCATCCCCATATGGGAAAAACTGCAGAGGGAACAATGAAATCAACGCTATCATTAAATTAGTTTTCTTTTGCATCACAAGACCGTAATGGGTTGCATCAGGGGAAATGTTTGACCCATCCAATCCAAGGAAAATAATTTGTGTTAAATGCATGTTACAACCAACACTGGTGGCCTCTACAAGCTTTTAGCTATATTTGGTACCCTGTTGAATAATATTTGAAATTACAGCTGTGAGAGTTAGATTTTGTCAATTAAATCTACATTTTTGTCATTTTGAAAACTCCAGTTTGACACATTAATTGCATGAATCCTTAAACACAAACAGGCATCTACACTAGACCTGTTTACTTTCTTTTATTCTCACACAGTCAGACCATTCTCCACAGCCTTGTGTCAGTAATGTGGAACAGTCTTAGCTACACCCATTATCGTTCTGCTACATGCAAAAAGAAAAAATCTGTTCTGTTCTAAATCTTTGAACACCGTAGAGGGGAAAGCTGTATGAAATGCACGGCACAAATTGAGGGCTTGTACCCAAAGTCTACATTCAATAAGTCAGGCTAACTTTCCTTAATTAAGCCATCAAGTATCTTCGATCCTTCAGATACTTTTCTGAAACCAAATTGTAAAAATCAAAGTTCATCGGATCTTTAGAGGATGCAGTTCTCAATCTTCCCACTTCAGTTTTTAGCAGGCAACGTATTTTTTTGGTTTCTTTTCTTAGCTTTGATTTTTGCCACAGATTTGATACATTAACACAGATTCAGTGTAATAATGTAGAACCTATGGGCCACTTTCACTGCATAGTTATGAGAGTGTTAGCTCCAAGGACATAAACTTAATATCAACTATATTATGTAGGAACATAATCCTAACACTCGTGAACCTTACCAACATGGGGCAAACTGGAGCTAACATAACATAAACACAAAGAATGTGTGTTCCTAAGAGACTTTTTTCTAAATGAAATGCTGCTTATAAAATTATATTCCACTGCTTATACAAGTAGAACTTTTCATAGATCACTAGTGCAACCCACAGTTGTTTTCTATGCCCTTTAAAACTGAATGGGAGTCGATGAGCCTGAGAGAATATGCAAAACTGATTTAAAAATATCCTTGCGCCATGTAACCAATGACAAATCACTAGGCCTCTTTTGTGACATTTTGAAAGCTCCAGAATATTCTGAAGGAGTTTCAGGCAGCAGGTATTATTATTATAGGCTCCACCTCCTCTCTATGACCCCAACATTGATTAGTCAGCCCCTGTAACATAAGCCTTCCATGTAAAAACACAGCAATGCTATGAGTCACTTCAGAGGTAACTTTTGGCATTATATAACTACGGAAAAAAAAATAATGAATTTCAATCATAGGAGATGAAGGACAAAACATATAAGGACCTCAGCTAAACTTATTAGTGCACAATCAACTACCATACTGTGCTATCTCCCTCCTCTCCTGCTCTCACCTTGACATAGAGCTGCTGAAACTCCTCCAGGTTCAGAATGCCAGAGGGACAGTCTTTGAGGAAGCCTTTGTACCACTGCTTGAGCTCTGCCTCATTGAATTCGGTGTTCTTGGTCAGATCATCCAAGACCTCTGGAGCCAGCTTGCTGTTGTGTTTCCCCATGATGCTTCACCTCTGTGGGGTGGAAGAGAGAGAGAGAGAGAGAGAGAGAGAGAGACAGGGTGAACACACAGGTGAGGAGGTGTTAGACAAACAACAGCAACGGCAGTAATGCCCCTCTGTTGTTGCAACAGCGCCGGTCTCTAGGGGAAAGAGCCAAGCAATGAATTACTTACACTCAAACACACACACAGAGGAGGCATGTTTCATCTTTTCATGCCGTTGTGTATTAAAGTATACAGTACATTTCATCTTATCAAGACATTATTGGGCATTATATGTACTACTGCTACAGACTACTCCACAACAACAACAATATCTCTTAGATGTTGTGTTTCTACAAGGAGCGCTCTCTTCTGAAACTCCAAAACTGTCATCTGTTTATCTCACGTCAGCAATGCGTATTAATCCGACTGCAGCATTTCATGAAGGGACTCTTGTACAGCTGGATCGTGCATCGATGTGGTGCAG